ATATAATAACTCCATTGTCATCTCATCTCAACCAGCTACACTGCTATGTCACGAGCTTATGTACAGATCCACATTTAGGCCGCTTGGTATTTTTGAGGCTTACAAAGCACTTAAAACTCTGGAAATGTGAAGCGAGGACAAGTAAATAACGAGCAATATAAAGAAAAAAAAAACAAAAATTTGAAACTGCACATCAGATATATAGTAAGCCCAACATTATCGGGGCTTCTTAGCCTCGTCTCCAATCCAATTTTGGCCCAAAAATAAATCAGAATACACGATAAATAAAGGAGACGTTGGCTAATTAAGAAGTTTTGGGCCGTATTCTTTAGCGCGACGTGTCACTCCGCGATAGGCTTCGTGAAACGGTAGAGGAAAGTAGATTTTTGGTCTCCGTTTCATTCTCATCGTCTCCCTCTTCTCTCTCTCGCAAGACAGGCGATTTCATGACAGAAGAAATCGAGATCGATCTCTGGTTTAATCCGAAGCTTCACCGCCGCATCAAATCTACACCAGGTTCGTTCTCTGGCCTAATTTTTATCTAGATCGATCTCTGGTATAATTTTTCACCTATTTTGTTTGATTCTTTTTTGCATGCTTGGTGTTTGATCAAGGTTTGTCGAGTATCGGTCTTGATTTGGGCCTCGACTTCTATACTCACTCAAACAACACAGGTATGTCTTCTTTCTCTGCCCTCCGTTTTCGATCTAGATGAATGACTTATATCTGTCTCTTTGTGTTTGATTGGTTTGTTTCTGAAGTATTTGTTCTGTTACGTTTCTATTGATGAATATTCTGCGTTCGATTAATTTTATATCTGTCTCTCTGTGTTAGTTTGGTTTTTAGTTAGAAGATGATTGATAAACATACTTTTAAAAACGTTGTAGTCAATGTTCTAGTTAGTTTGGTTTTCAGTTAGAAGATGTTTGATACTTTTAAAAACATACTAGTTAGTTTGGTCATTCTGATTGTATTCAAGTTTGTTTGTAACCAATTGAAATTTAGTTACTTGATTACTTTTCGGTTGTAATAAGTTCTGATTAGACTTGAGTAGTTTATGGTTATTTCTTTATGTTTGATAGTTATTATATCTTCCTTTTTCACCTATCAAACCCCCAACAAGCTTCTATAGTGTGTAGAAGGTGGTTAGGTATTTACGTTTTACACTTATTATAGCTTCATTATTCACCTATTAAACCCCACGAAGCTTTCATTCAAGCTTTTATATCAATTTTTTTTCTCTCCGGTTTCTCTTTATCTCTTTTCTCGTTCTTCTAATCGAAATGGATTCAAGGAATACATTGAATCCATATTCTCAATCTCCTAGCTATGTCGGCCTTCTCCACAGCCAGAACTTTCGCTATGAGATGCCTCCTTTTAGTTCACAGCCTCCTACTCTAAACTTCGGAGCAACCGAGATGCCTTATTTTAGTTCACAGCCACCCAACCCTCCACCTGTGCAACCCAACCCTCCACCTGTTCCTGAAGACCCACCAGTTGCCTCTAAAGAGAGGAGGAAATGGACTCCGGCTGACGATGAGGTCTTGATAAGTGCGTGGCTAAACACATCTAAAGATGTTATTATTGGATAATGATAAAAAATCAGGGACCTTTTGGAAAAGAGTAGCTGAGTGTTATGCTTTAAGTCCACATGCTCACGAGAATGGTGGTCCAAGAGAGCATCTCCATTGTAAGCAGAGGTCGCACAAGATCAATGACTACACCAATAAATTCTGTGGTGCATATGCGGCAGCAGAGAGAAAGAATGGTTCTGGTCAGCACGACAATGATGTTCTCAAGGGGGCTCATGAAATTATTTTTGCTGATCACAACACGAAATTCAATCTCGAGCATGCTTGGTGTGTGTTAAGTTTTGAGCAAAAATGGCTCAGCCTTAACACTCCTAAACCAAGTGGTAGTTCAAAGCGTAAATCTGGAGAGGCATGTTCACAAACTTCAAGCACCACGGTTGGTGATCTTGAGGTCCGTCCTGAAGGTATCAAGGCTGCTAAAGCTAAAAGGAATAATGGGCAAGGAAAGTCTGTTGCTGAGTATACCACGGTTTGGGAATTGAAGAAAGAAGGTCTTATGATGCAAGAGAAACTTTCATAGCTTGCTATTCTAGACACACTCCTAGCAAAGAAAGAACCACTAACTGAGGCTGAGGAAGTTGTCAAGAATAAGCTACTTGCCATTATCTGAAAATGTCTTTAAATTTATGTATCTCTGGTTGTTGCTTTCTGGTTGTTGCTTTCTAAATTACATGTTCTCTGTTCCGTACTTTTAAATTAATGCATTTCTGTATTTCCGGTTTGAGCTTTATATTTATGAAAAAATATTGTTTCAATTTCTCTCTTTTTGTGCTTTATTGTTCTGCTTTATTTTTGACATTATCACAATTAATTAAACAACTTACTCACATTGTTGTAACATTTTTTTGCAGGTTAATTTTAAATGGGTCGATATAGCTACAGCCAGCCTTCAGACTCAGAGGTGTATGGTGGTGATGACAGTGGGTACAGCGAGACGGAACAGCTTATTCGCCGGGACCAAGCTGAGTTGAGCTTCAACAACGGTGACACGGCTCAGTACCCTCCGCAACTGGAGGTCGAGTTTGGTTTCCCTCAGGCTTGTTACTGTGGTGGTCAGCCTCTTATAGCTACATCCTACACAAGAAACGATCCAGGAAGAAGATTCTACACATGCGAGCATGTTGATGATGGTGAATGCCATGTCTGGAAATGGTGGGATGTCGCGGTCATGGAGGAAATGAGGGCCAAGAATAAACACATACTTCAGTTGGAGCAAAAGGTAGATAGTCTTGTCTTTATGAGCGACACTGAGACTGAGGAGAAGGTGATTAGGCTGGAGAAGTTGGTTAGTGAATTAGGAAAGAAGAAATCTTGTTTTCACAATGGGTTCGAAGTTTTCATTACGGTGATGCTCATTGTTTTAGTTGTACTTGGTGTGGTGATCGTTTTTCAGTGATGTAGGGGTGTTGGTGTTGTTGTTTTCATTACTTGATCGTTTTTGACGATGTTGTGTTTTTTTTTGGGCAATGATTGTATTGTGTATGTTTATCTCTTGACATGAATTGTAATATTTAGTATGCTTTTGACAATGTGTACTACAAGACAAAGAATCTGTCCATGATTGGTGTAAAAAACTGTTTATGCTCGTGAGCAACTTGTATTTTGCTCGTGACAATGTGTACTACCAAAACCAAAAAACCATCACAAGAGCAAAATGCTATTATGCTTGTGACATGTATCACGAGATACATTTGGCTCAGCCTTATAAAACAACTCCTCCTCTCTTGCATAAAATCAACTTCTCCTCTTTTCACCGATTCTGTTTTTTTTTTAAAACTCTCAATGGCATCTTCTTCTCATTTTCACTACCATAGAGATGATGAAGATGATGTATTTGATTCCCTTTTCGATGATTTTTCTGAAAATGATGATCTTATTCCAGAACCAAAAGTTCGAAAACCACGTATTTTTATTGAGAGAAACCGAGAAGAAGGCCACCAGATGCTATGGAATGATTACTTTAGCGAGACTCCAACATACACACCCCAACTATTCCAGCGACGGTTTCGAATGAACAAACCGTTGTTCCTGCGTATTGTGAATCGTATGTCCACGGAAGTACCGTATTTCAACAAAGAGAAGATGCAACAGGGCAGCCTGGTCTATCACCCCTACAAAAATGTACTGCAGCAACTCGACAATTGGCATATGGTGGTGGAGCTGATACAGTTGACGAATATGTCCGACTTGCTGAAACAACCGCTCGAAAATGTTTGAACAAATTTACCGCAGGAATAATTAGTGCGTATGGCGATGAATACCTTCGACGTCCCACACATGAGGATCTGGAAAGACTACTCTATATCGGAGAACAACGTGGGTTCCCTGGGATGATTGGAAGCATCGACTGTATGCATTGGGAGTGGAAGAATTGCCCCACAGCTTGGAAAGGAATGTATTCACGAGGAACCGGAAAACCGACAATTGTATTGGAGGCGGTAGCTTCTTATGACCTATGGATATGGCACGCATTTTTTGGAGCTCCAGGTACTATGAACAATCTTAATATTCTTGATCGATCCCGTGTTTTTGATGACATTATTAACGGAATCGCGCCAGAAGTTAACTTCTATGTGAACGGAAGGGAGTACAATTTGGCTTATTATCTCACAGATGGTATATATCCAAAATGGGCGACTTTCATTCAATCTATCCGACTACCACAAGGTGAGAAACCTTCATTATTTGCTAAAACCCAAGAATCTGTTCGAAAAGATGTTGAGCGTGCATTTGGTGTCCTGCAAGCTAGATTTGCCGTTGTGAAAAATCCATCTAAGTTATGGGATAAAGAAAAAATATCAAATATCATGAGAGCATGCATCATACTCCATAATATGATTGTCGAAGATGAACGATCTTCATACACTCAGTATGACGTTTTTGAATTTCAAGAAAGCGAAGATGTGGGTACGTTTTCCGTCACTATGCCTTCAAATCTCGGAAATACAATTGATCGTCAAACCAGCGTTCGGAATAGACAAGCCCATGAACAATTAAAAAACGATTTGATTGAAAATATATGGGATAAATTTGGACATCTTCCAAATAACATATGATTTTTAAGTTTCTATGATTTGAATAAAATGTGTGTTTGCTTTTATTTATGAAGTTTGTATGTTTTTTTTTAAGTAGGGATGTAATATAATGTTTTGTAATTTTCTATTAAATGAATAAATTTGTTTCTCTTATTATGTATTAAATTTAAATTGTTATATGTTTTTTTTTCAACACCATTTTATTTGCTAATTATTAAAAAAAATTATAATCTAAGAACCAAGCAAATATCCCACCAATAATCTTCATTTTTAGTAAAGTCTCTTAACAATGTTTTTAAGTTAAAAATAACAATAAACAATCCTAAGAACCTTAGAAAAAGTTCCATTGATAATGTTGGTCTAAGGCATAGTTGCAGTAGTGAGGGTTTTGCTACAATAACATTATAAGTTAACACAGAGACGAGAGTTAAAAAAAAAAAAAAAAACATAGAGACAAGAGTTAAGTTGAACTCAAGGGTAACCAATATAAGACACATTCAAAATCCAAGGCATAGTCGACAAATAACTGCTGTCTTCAACAGCAAGTAAACTGACATTCATCTGAGTGGCTCTGACCTGACCTCAACTGTAGACATGATACAAAAACACTAAAATGTAGGGTTTTGAATTGATTTAAAATCCAAAGAAGTGATGAACAAGTAATCATCTACATTGAACAAAAATGGGATCACATGAATGAAACTTACACTTGGCCATCAAGATTCCCTTGACCGCTGCTTCCTCCACTTACGTAAGAAACATCATTGCCGGTGGCCGACGTCTGCCAAACGCTCTGCCACTCCTGAGACGGAGGCTGCACATAAACGCCACTCGTATCCATAGCGGGTGTCCCAATCATCATCCCTCCAGGACCACCCATCGGCGGATAATAGTACGGCACGCCGCTCACGGCAGGAGTCACCATCCCGCTGATCCCCGGCTCTTCCTTGATCTCATCTCTAGGAACGATATCGACGAGGAAGTCGAAGATATCTGTTCTTGTAATCGCAGCGGCTATATCGTTTTTCTGAAGCGTACGGCGTTTATTCTCCTCGGCGTGAAGCCAGGAACGGATGGTGAGCTCGAGAATGAAGAGCTCGCAGGCTTTGGCGAAGAGGATCGGTGCTTCGGCAGAGATCATACGCACATCCTCGTCTGCTTTCATGATCTTTTTTATCCTAGCGAGAGGGAGCTGATGGTTTTTGAAGTCGTTCACTTGCTCGATCTCTTGGCGTTGGTATGACCAGAACATTTGGAGCTGTTGTTGCTGTTGCTGGAGAAGGTGGTGGTAAGAAGCTCCTCCAACGGCGGAGACGGAGGTTCCAGGAGGAGGAGGAGGATGAGGGATTCCAGCGGCGGAGGGAGACGATTGCTGGTTGTTGTCCATCGGGTCTTGAAAATGGTCGGCGTGGATTCGGTGTTTGTGATTGGATTAAAGAGTGTCTGACGAAGTTTATTTTTTTGCCAAATGGATTGGGGCAGAAGTGGATAAGGTGGAGAGCCATGTTGGCTGGCTTTTACTTGAAAGAAAACATTTTAGCTTATTACAATACAATAACAAAAACTTGATTGATCAAATATTGAAAACCGGACCGAATATTGCAGCATTGTAGTTGGATCGGTCCTACCGGTTTAGCCGGGTTGTAAAAATAAATCTGATTTTAAATTAAATGACTATATATATATATGTGTGTATAACTATAAAACTATTTTTATGAAAAACTATATATATATATATATATATATATTATTAGAATCTATAAAAATAAAATAAAAGCTTCAAAACTAATATATATAAAATATAATGAAAACTAATCCATCATTGTGTTTGGATGGATTATGATCTTATGTGATAGATTATAGTTATAATTCCTCTCTAGGTTGTTTGGAAAAAATGCTGATGTTCTAAATGTTTTACAGTTGACCTTTGCTTAAGAAATCTATGAATTCTAACAAAGACATTGAGCTTCCAAATCTACAAGAACTTCAAATCTAAGCTATTCAGAAATAGTGCATGCGTATATCTTCTTACATATAAAAAATACTAGTCAGACGGAGTTAATTTGCGTAAGAAATTTCTTTCCAATATGGTTATTTTTGACGATTTGTAACCTACATACACTTCACTGGGCTCACTTTACTTGATTTCAGGTGCCTATGCAATTTTCCAATCTCTACCCAATACTCTTTGGGTGATCATACTGCAATTGTTCATTGCTAGGGATCTTTTAAGCACCTAGTGGACACAGGGATCAATTGACACAAAAAACAAGATAACTGAATGAAAAGTGACAATGGATTTGGAATATGTGTGAAGAAGATAAGTAATAATGAGTCAAATTAAGTTAACACTGGATCTGGGACAAACAGAGAAATGGCTCTAGTTTGAACTTATTTGATCTTCCGTTGCCTTCTTCCACAAGGCAGTGGAGATAATAGTCTCAAGCCACTATAATGTATTAGTGAATGCAAAGAGTGAAGTTTTGATTTCATTGTTGAGAAGGAATACGTACATTTTGCGGAGATATGATATAGAGGAAGTGAGCAAAATCATATTTTAAGTGTTGGGGAAAACAGGACACGGTGAAGCGGAATATGTGTTCAAGTTCCTCTAACCTTGTGTAAATATATGATGAAAATACTTCGACGATAGTAGGATATAATATAAGCAGAAACTAAATGAGACAAGCACTTTTTACGTGGAAAACCTCCTCGACGTGAAAAGAAAAAACCACGGGACCGTAGTCCACTCAAAAATCCACTATATAAATGTATTTGAGTACAACCACGTCCTCCCTGTTCAACAACCTGAACAGAACATAGACTTAGCTACAAATAGCTATCTCCAACACAAGAACAACAACAAGAGAGAGTAACACAAAACTTCAAAACTGGCAGTAACCAAACGACCTCAGCTCACAAAGATTCCGGCAACCAGAAACTAATCCCACCGTAAAAATCCAAGATAAACAAGTCAACGACACCTCTGCCAAATTTCAGCTGAAACAGATAAGATCTCACCATCGGATTTACCAAACATTCTAGACAGCCCTGCTGAAGAACTGTGACGACCAGCTTCACGAAAACCCAGACAACAGAAGATCCAACCGTTGAAATCCAAATCCCTTCGGTGGACCTTTAACCCACGGAGTGAACAAGCTTCCTAAAAAATATCAGCTCAAAAAGAATCCGTTTGACCCTCCAAATCTGCCTTGACAAACCCATAGGAAATTCTGCCTCCTTCTCTCTTTTTGTCTAAACTTCTTTTCTTGTGTCTGCCTCAAAAATTAGGTCAAGAGACTTTATATAGTGTCTCACTAACCCTAAGGCCCAATACTAATCTCATGGATAAATATCAATGGCCCAACTCCTAGTTTGTTTATCACCAACCAAATCCAATGGGTTTCCTCCATCTAGAAGGAACCCAACAAACTCCCCCTCCGACTAGGTGGAGGAAACATCCATTCCGGCTATCCCTCAGCATACTTCAAGCTTCCCCCTGGGTAAATACTTTGTCATCATATCAGCCCCATTATCATCCGTTTGAACTTTCTCAAGTTCCACTTCCTTAGAAGCAATCACATCTCGTATCCAATGATACCTCCTTTGAATGTGTTTTGACTTCGAATGAAATGTAGAGTTCTTAACCGGACAAATTGCACTTTGACTATCACAAAGAAGCGCACACTTTTCTTACTTGAAACCGATCTCTTCACAGAAGTTCTTCATCCACAACAACTCCTTACACGCTTCAGTTGCAGCAATGAACTCTGTCTCAGTGGTAGATAGTGCAACACACTTTTGCAGCCTTGACTGCCATGCCACAGCTCCACCCGCAAATGTTACCAAGTAACCCGAAGTAGATTTACTAGAATCAACATCTCCAGACATGTCAGAATCAGTGTAACTGACAAGTGAAAGCTTCTTATCCCCCAAAGTAATCTTCAGATCAGAAGTCCTCTGAGATATCTCAAGATCAACTTCACAGCATTCCAATGTTTTCTTCCTGGATTGGAGATAAACCTGATGTTAACTCCAACGGCGTAGGCTAAATCCGGTCTTGTACAGACCATGGCATACATCAAACTACCCACTGCAGAAGCATATGAAACCTTCTCCATATCTTCCTTCTCATCATATGTCTTCGGACTTTGTTGACTGCTCAGTCTTAAGTGCGGAGCAAGAGGAGTACTCAACACTTTAGACTTGTTCATGTGGAACCGTTTAAGTACCTTCTCAATGTACTTCTCCTGAGACAAGTGAGTCAGCTTCTCACCTCTGTCTCGAACAATTCTCATACCAAGAATCTGTTTCGCTGGACCCATATCTTTCATGGCAAAGGACATGCTTAGATGCTCTTCCAGCTCCTTAATTCTCTCCATGTTCCTGCCCACAATCAACATATCATCGACATACAGCAACAAGATGATAAAATCATCATCACCAAACACCTTCAAAAATATACACTGGTCTGCATCAGTCTCTGCATAACCATGCTCCCCCATAATAGACTTGAACTTCATGTACCACAGTCTCGGTGCTTGCTTCAATTCATAAAGGTTTTTCTTCAGGCGGCAAACCAAATTTTCTTCGCCCTTTTTCACATAGCCTTCCGGTTGTTCCATATAAATCTCTTCCTCCAAATCACCATGAAGGAAAGCGGTCTTCACATCCATTTGCTCAACCTCTAGAATAAGGTTTGCTGCCAATCCGAGAACAATCCGAATGGATGACATCTTCACATCAGGAGAAAAGATTTCATCATAAGCAATCCCCTTCTTTTGGTTGTACCCTTTCACAATCAATCTAGCCTTGAATTTAGGTGGCAAATATGTATCCTGATGCTTAATTCTGAGCACCCATTTATTAAGCAGTTCTTTCTTGCCCTTAGGCTATTTCAACAACTCGAATGTATGATTCTCTTCAAAAGAATTCATCTCCTCATCCATGGCTCCAAACCACATATCCTTGTGTTGGTCCTCCAAAGCTTCATCATAGCTTTCAGGCTCTCCCCCATCAGTAAGTAAAACATACTCACTAGGATCATACCTTGTCGACGGTTTAAGACCTCTCTCGGATCTTCTAACAACAGTAGGTTGGTTCTCAGCATCTGGTGTCTCACCATGATCGTCACCATGATCACCACTATCATATTCATGTGCGGGAGCATCTGCATCGGGTGTATCATCCTGAACTTCAACCTCAACCTCACCGTGGACCGATGTAGAAGTAGTAGCCTCTGTATCGATCAAACCATTAAAACCTGAGTTGGATTTCTTGACTTCTCAATGTCCTTTATTGTTTGATCTTCCATGAACACAACATCTCTGCTCCTTACGAGCTTTTTCTCAATGGGATCATAAATGTTGATCAGATATTAAAAACAAACCGAAAAGACATGTTATTGGACCGATGTTCATAAATCTGAACCCGAACTCAAAACCAAACCTAAACCTAATGTATATTAAGTCATAAGTCAATCTCTCGAGACTTAAAAGTATTAAGTGATGCTGAAGAAGACAAAAAAAATGAGAGAGTCAGGAGAAATTCACACAACTATTTATCGATACCAATTACTTGTTTTCATCAATTTTCACGTTCTACTCGAAATCGTTTTCTGGAGATTCCATCAATATTATGTTTATCGATTCTCACTTTGGTGATGGTTCCAGAAATGTTTTCCGATCCGATTTATCAATAGATCATTCTTCATCTGTTCCGATTTCCAACCGAACCGCTGTAAGATCAATTCGAGTGAGATGTTGCACGAGCTTCATCCATTACATATTTGTTATCTCTAGAATGGTCACTATGTCCATGATCGATGACCATTTTCTTTGAAACTTCAAAGAAATACACCAAAACTTACGAGGTGATATCACAATCATCTATTTATCTTCCTCTTATTAATGGAAGATAACCCAACAGGGAAACTTCGAAATGGGATGATGGTGTTTACTCTTTTCTGGCTAATAAAAGATTATGAAAATGATTTAAAAGCCATTCTTCAAAGACTATTCACAATGTTGAATGATGAATTCAAAATCCATATTTCGATAAAATACACACTACAAGAAAACACGACTTTTGTTAGGACGGCTTTTCCTCGTAATTTTCTAGTAAAGTGGCCTTTACTAGGAAATTACGAGGAAATGCGTTTTGTCATAACACGTTCATCGTAAAGCCTTTTTCCTCGTAAATTCTTAGTAAATTTACGAGGAAACGTTTTCTCATAAAAGCGTGGAGACATATTTCCTCGTAAGGTTTCTTCGTAAAAGGCACGTAAAATTTCCTCGTCAAAGCCTCGAAACATAATCCTCGTAAACGCATCGTAATATATTACGAGGAAATTACTTCGATATGTTTTGGGTGGGAAATGCCTATTGATCAACTTTTGAGTGGCCAACTCAGAAGATGCATTATGAATACTCTACTAGCAACGAACAAGAATGATCTACACTAAAACAACCTAGAACTAACCTAATCACCCTTAATCTCCCTAACCCATGAATTCA